TGGAAGTTTCAGCTACTATTTCTTCAAAGGTTTGTTTCTGCTCCATATTCTCTTTCCTCTATTCTGATACTCCTATTACATGGTATGCATACATCTCTCTTCGACTCTTCATATAATGAAGATATTCTTTCTTTTCTCTTCTCATATTTCATAATATCTATCTAGCTTCAAGTTTGTGGACTCTCTTCTGCCAGTTCAAATCTACTATGGAGTTCTTCCAGTGAATTTTTCATTTACATTATTCTACTTTTCAACTCCAGAATTTTCATTTGGTTCTTTTTTATGAATCCTATCTTTTTATCGATATTCTTTATTTGATGAGACAATTTTATCATACCTTTCCTCATTTCTTATCTAGGAGAGTAAATGTGCAAGAAGAGCCTAGCCATTTGAGGAAGATAATGAAAAATAACTTCTTTTACCTGATAAACCAATTCTAAAGCTACAGGATTTAGAACAATTTGACACCAGACAAGAACAGATAGACCGGAGAAAGTGAATAATTGTAAGGCCCCAGTATTCACTGGAATTTAGTAAATACCAATGGTGACATCTCATATGGTAGCAGACTATCTGTTTGCAATAAAATAAATATTACACAGGTCAAAAAAACTTTAAATGAATTAAAGACCAAAATATATCAAAACAGAGAAAATCATAAAAACATGAAAACATTTTTTATTAGCTTAGAGAAAAGCATTTTTTCTGAGTATGACCAAAAAAGAAAAAACAATGAACATTGAGGAAAAAGTTGATAAATTTGAATTTACTCTTTCTTCCTTGCAAAGGTGTATTGTTTTATCATACAAGATACTATAACCATAGTGAATATATCAGGACAACCTGGATAAAACTGTTGTTAGCATATGAGGGCAGATTCTATCCTGTCTTTAAAACCTTTTCTTTTTTCCCTTCCAACTTGATGTTATTGGCTGTCTGTGAAATTCTACAGTAACTATTGCTCATAGTTATTTTATCCACTAATTATAATTTGAGACAACATATAACCTAGATAATTGTTTTTTAATCTCTACTTCAGAGTTTTCTCAGCCTTGGCATTGTTGACCTTTTGGCCTGGATGATTTTTTGTTGGCAGATTGTCCAGTGCCATGTTGGATATTTAGCAACACCCATGACCTCTAGCTGTCAGCAGCAGCTCCCTAGTCCTGACAATCAAAAATATCTCCAAACATTGCCAAGTGTCCCCTTGGGGCAAAATCATCCCCGTTTGAAAACTATTGTTGTGATTGTATTGACTGTATTTTTAAGCCTTTTGAGGACAGAAGCTGTCCTAGTCATCTTTGATTCATTTTAGTGCCTATCCAAGTGCTTTACACGTAGTAACAATTCAGTAAGTATTTGTCCAATGTAAAGGAATAAATAAATAATGATTCTTCTAAAAATATTTTCTTAACCAAAAATACTATTACAATGAAAATTTATGTACATCAAGAATATTTTCTGTGTTAGTACCTCATTGTGTTAAAGTATACTGGATATAAAATGCAACCATAAGTAGAATAATTCAGATAGTTACCGAGAAGACACTATGGGAGGGGTCTGTCATAACTTAAATTAATTTTGTATGCTTATTTATTATTATTTTAAGATCTTTTTACACATTCTTGATTTTGAAAGCTAGATTTAAAAAAAAATAGACTTTATTTTAAACAGTTTTAAGTTTGCAGAAAAATTGAACAGAAAGTACTGAGCATTGCCATTGAATCCCCTCCCCCTCCCCAGTTTTCCCTATTACTAACATCTTGCACAAGTGTGGTACATTTGTTGTATTGATGACCAATAACAATACATCATTATCACCCAAAGTCCATGGTTAACGTTAGAATATACTCATGGTGTTCTACATTTTATAGATTTTAACAAATATATAATGATCTGTATTCACCATTAAAGTATCATAGACATGTTTCACTGCCCTAAAACTCCTCTGTGTTCTATCTAGTCATCCCTCTTTTCCTTTTCCCTGGACCCCTATTAATGATTGATCTTTTACTATCTCCATAGTTTTTCTAGAATGTCATAGAGTTGGAATCATACAGTATGTAGCTTTTTCAGATTGCCTTCTTCACTTAATAATATATACTTAAGGGTCCCCTATTCTTAGCAGCGAGATTTTAAACTCAATCCAGAGTTTCTTGGACACTTTTGACAAATACGAAAGTATACTGTAACAGTTTTAGACATTGACATGCAATCCATTCCTCACAGCATGTACAAAAATTAACTCAAAATGGATTATCGACCTCCCTATATGTAAAACCTAAAACTGTAAACTTCCTGAAGAACATATAAAAGAAAAATTTTGTGATCTTGGATTAGGCAAATATTTCTTTGAAATGGCAGTTGCTTAGAAGGTCAAACATATGACCCATTGGACCCAGCAATTCCCTCTCTTAGGTATTTAACCAAGAGAAATGAAAATTATATTCTCATAAAAACCTATGAATGTTTAGTGGTTTTACTCATAATTGCCCCAAACTAGAAATAACTCAGATGTCTTTCAATTAGTGAATGAATAAACAGTAGTTAATTTATTGAATGGAATACTCAGCATTGAAAAAGGCATACACAGAATTAAAATGGTATTAAAGGAATATGCAACAACCTAGCTGAACCTCAGGTTCATTGCGCTAAGTCAAAGAAGCCAGACTTAATGGTCTACACACCTTATGATTCAATTTCTTTGACAAAATCTGTAAGGACAAAGAATTAATTAGTGGTTGCCAGGAACTAGTGTTGGGGCTTCACTATGAAGAGAAGTGAGATGAGATTTTTATGTGATGGATTTGTTTTGTATCTGATTGTGGTAGTGGTTACATGACTAAAACATCTGTCAAAACTCAAGAATTCTATGCTAAATTGAGTGAATTTTGTTAAAGGTAAAATATACTTCAATATACCTTACTTTAAAAAAGTAAAGTGTATATTATAAAGAATTCCATACTCTACATTTTTCTAGATGAAAAAAATAACCATTTTAAGTAAAAATTGATACTAGAAAGTAAAATTAGAACTGCTTAGTTCAAATTGAATGATTGCATTAGTCCTTATATTTCACTTCTTAATTTAATTTTCCACACATTCGTTAAGGTTCCTTTATTCCCCCTGTGACATTCTAGCTGTTTACTGTTGCATTTATATAATAGTCAACCAGAGAAGTTGCAGCTACAGATGGGGTACACTTCGGAGAACTAAGAGAAGACATTTAGTCTCCTTGCAATGATTTTTAGACATTTTAAAACTGGTCCTAGAACTTGTTTATTTTAAATAAGTGCCTTGCAAATTAAAGGAGCTTTTTAAGGAATTCTATAAACTGATTATGCTGAGCCACAGTAAAAGCAGTGTGACACTGTTTTCTGCTGCCAGGACACTCTTCTGTTTATACAGTTAAAGGGTTTCCACTTTCTCGATACAGAAGAAAATGCAGATTTTGGAATGTTAGGGCTCCACGTGCTCCTGTGTAAGCTGAAAGAAAATTTCTTTGCATGTAGGAAACACATCAGTTATGAATGGGGTTGTATCTAAATGTTCATTTGTAAGTTCGTATTTAGATTTTAAAATACACTGTTATAAGAACAATATCTTACATGATGGTTAGGGTTAGATGGACCAGCTAGCCCAAAAACCTATCGTGGGATATGAAATATCATGGTTAAGTGTGATCATACAGTGTCGTTGTATTGGGGTTCCATGAAGTATCATAGTTAAGTGTGAAGCTCGACTTTAGTATCAGACTGAGTTCATATCCTAGCTCTGTCAGTACTGTGTGATTTGGGAGCAGTTACTCTACCATTTTGTGCCCCAGTTTCCCAATCTTTAATATGGAGTTGATAATAATCCCTACTTCAGAATGCGGTGAGGTATAGAGATCATACTTATAAATGGATTGGAAAAGTACCTGGCACAAAGTATATGCTCAGCACACCTTAGCTATTACTATCTAATTCATAATGTGTGGGAAGTGTTCAGGTGTCCAATGAAGCCTAATTACCATGATAGAAAAAGTTTGTGAGAAAATGTGTTTAGTATTTCAGACTTAGATGCTAGGAATATACTTCTTCTCACCTCCTTTCTCTGCCTCCATTTAGGGTAGTAGAGTTAGGGAAATTGAGACTCTCAGTTCCCAGGAGCTGGTGGGTATGGGTCATGGTGAGGAATGCACGGACAAGAACCCCCAGGGGAGAGGCAGGCTGAAGGCGAAGGCCAATGGATCAGGTTAAGGGATCCAATGTTCATGGGGTCAAAATTTTCTTTATGTCTAGGGCCATTTGCCTAGTTATCGCCAACTGCTAGTGTCAGTTATTTCTATGTTCTGAAAATTTGCAGCTCCTTTGAGAGTTTTTTGGTGGGATTTCATGTTGCCTAACGTTGGAGAACCCGAATGCGAAGAATTCTCCTACCAGTTCCCCTCCCGCTGGCTTTTCCGTTTACATTCCTATGTTTGGGGATGGGGAGGGAAAAAGCCAAAGAGCCTAAAACACGTGATATTTAAAAGTTTTTTTAATGTGATGTTTTTAATACTACTTTAACATGCTCTGAAATTTTGCCAGGAAGGAGGCATATTTTAAAGTTAATGCATATGTAAAATAGTGTATAGCCACATATTGAAATCATAGAATCTATTGCACTATTAATAAAACTGTCAGAAACCAATAATGTTTTTAAGCCCCAGATCTTATAATTTGGGACTGGTTTGTAGAATCATGATTCTTATTCTTGAATTTAAAAATCAAGCCTAGTGCTTCTCCCAATTCTCTTCTAAAAATTAATTCATGTGAAAACTTTATTCCGATAAGTAATTGTATAGTAGTACAAGTTTATATGTTCATTTTATTTATGAAACCAGAAAGAGGATGGGAATAATCATTTGAAACAAAAAAATTGAACAATTTTAAAAAATGTTTTGGGGAAACCTTTTATAGCAGGTACTTAAAACGTTATATCCATTTTAATATCAATCTTGAAATACTCTTTTATAGCTATGCAATGGAGGATCGGTGACAGATCTTGTGAAAGGATTTCTGAAAAGGGGTAAAAGAATGAATGAGCTCATAATTGCCTATATTTTACATGAAGCACTAATGGTAAGGCAATTTAAATTGTGCATTAATTATGAGGCAGTTCTAGTTTAAAAATATAGATCTTATTTTTAGAAAAATATCACTACATTAGTATTTATTAATGCAAGAGTATATGCAAAATTCAAAATGTTTAGCATAGCTAATTCCTTTTTTCCATTGGAAATCTACCTTCTTTTTGTCAACAGAACCCTGAGTTCTGATCTCATAAATGTATTTCTGAGATTGTGATTATGATGAAGGTAGATATTATGTATTTTTTACTAATAGGTTTTTACTTTCCATTATTTAAAATAAGAATATGGAATGTTTTCTTCTATTGCGATCAACCCATTTTAATACAATATTTAATAAGAGCTAAGGGTATGCTCTGGTTTTAGGAATTTTTATATAGTTCAAAGTGGAAATGATATACTTTGATTTGACTATTCAATATAAAACATTTAAGAATGTCTGAATGTTAATTTAACATGTGTTTCCTACTGATTTTGCACAAATGCATCCATCTGAAAAATGTTATTGTTTTTTTTGCTTGATGCTTTCTTTAAAAGTCATTATATATTTCCCATCTTCTAGGGACTGCAGCATTTGCATAACAACAAAACTATCCATCGTGATATAAAAGGAAATAACATTTTGTTGACCACAGAAGGCGGAGTTAAACTCGTAGATTTTGGTAAGTTTTCCTCGAAATGCCCGAGTTTGGGCTGCAAAATGAGTAGTATGATATGACTTGATCATTTCCATCAAGATTTCTTTCTAGCCATTGAAAGTAGAGGAAAAAAACAATATTTCCTTGAGGTTAAAAAGTGCAGAGTTTTTTTTTTTTTTTAATAGGCAAATGAGAGATTCCCAGAAGAAAGAGTGGCTTCTTTTAAGGTTGTGCCCATAACACCATTGTAGCAACATGTGTGGTGATTCTCTAAAGTAGATGGCACCTCAAAGGACTACCCTCAGCCTAAAATCCAATAGCCCTTCCTTGTGATTGCTTTATGAATTGACATGTGCCAAACCCAGGATTTGAGATATGAGGAGAAACCTTCAAAGGTCTCTGGGAAATTTCTTTCCTCTTAAGAAGAAGTCTCAGGGAAAGGTGGTGTCTTTCTTTCTGGGGACATTCCGTGTCTTATTGCGATGCCTCGAATCTGCCGCAGCCACCTCATTCTGTCCTGAGGCGTTTTATCCCAAGTGGAAAGCCAATCCTGAGAAAGGCAGAGCTGAGGACGGGAAGAGCGAGGGTCCTTGATGACATAATCGAGCCACTGGATCCACCAACTTTGGAGCCTGCCTTATCTCTGGACTTTTTGTCATATGAGATAATAAATTTCCATATTTACTAATAAGCCGATTTGGAGTTTCTGTGTCATAGCCAAGGGCACCCTCGCTGATACCTTTATTCTTCATCTGGGCAGGTATTTACCGGATTTGACAGTGCTCTCTCACCCCTCCTCTCGTTTGATCTCTGCTAAAACCCTCATCCTGTAAGAGTGGGCAATTTTATTCTAGGACATCTCAGTATCAGTCAGTCATTCTTCCTCTTCCCTTCCCCTGTGCTCTGGTGTCTGTATTCAGTATAGTTCTCCATTTTTGTATTTATCACATAGAATTATAATTATCTTTCTGGTCTTTATAGATAGAAAAAGATACTTAGAAAGAGAGAGGCAGGGTCTTCGAGTAGTGGGACTATGTCTTATTAAATTTCGTTGACTTAAGGCTTTGGATATTTGTAGTTCAATAAGTGATCGTTGAATGAATGAACCTTCATTTTACATTTTGGAAACTGACGCTTCGGGAAGTTCATTGATTAACTTTAGAAATTAATTGTTTTAATATCCAAGGAGGTAACTCTCTAGAGATCTGACTTAATCCAGGGATGAATTTCAGAGTATTTAAAGAGAAATAGATGAATAGCATATCTTTCAAACAGCCATGCATGTGCCATTTTTTTCTCAGCTGAGCTTTTGAAAACTATGGAGCAGCTTTGAGTGTGACAGTGAATTCCTGATTAAAAGCTGAGAAACAGGCAGTCTGTTTTGCTAGTTGAGTTCAAAGCTGTGTGTTTAAACAATCCTAATACTAATAAGAACTTGTGCCTGAAATTTAAAAAAACAACAATAAATGCTGTTCTATAGGCAGGGCCCTGACTCTCCTTAGAAAATAATTTGGCTCCGTTCTAACAGACCCAAATGGAGACTTAATATTTAACTGGAAATCTTATCATTCTCTTGCTCTAAAAATATGGCTAGATAAAAATTGTCGAAACAAGTGTAAGTATACATCTTCTCAGTTATGAAAGACAAACTTGATAAACCAGTAGCTTTGAGAAATGGATCTTCTGGGATACCCTCTGAAATTATCTAGATTAAAAAATATACCTAAATGATAAAGAAGATGGCCTTTTATGTATCTTTATAAAGTAGTCATAAGTTAAAAAGCTGACAAAATGAGAGCTCTGGTTTTAGATTAATTGACTTAAAGCCTTAAGTTTCGGCATCAATTAGAAAAGAGGTCCAGCTGCCTATTAAATGTGTTCCTAGTATCTGATACTAAAATACTATTTTTCGCATATAAGATAATGCTTATATTTCCATTCTCCATGGTAAGAGGACCTGGATCCAGTTCACCTAAAATGATTTGTAGGTTTTCATATGAATTGAAACCTGAGGATGGAGATGCATGCATAGTGAATCTTCTAAAGGGCAAAAGGAATAAGATATGGTAAGCCACAAATTGCAGAATCAAACTGAAAATCAATGTCTTCATTTTATATTTAAATCAGATATTCAGGAAAGGCTACAGCTGGGGGTAAAGGTTTTAGAATGCATGTTATTTGAATTTCTCACTTCCTAAAATAGACGGTAGTAAGCTCATTATTGGATACTGAAGATCTGTATTGGGACGCCTGCCAGTTCTCAAAAATGTCCAGAACGGAACTCCACCACCTCATCCATCCGAGTAATCTGCTTCCTATCAAGAGTTTTGTCTTAGAAAAATTCACAGGTATCTACTTTATTGCTCAAGCCAGAAATCTTAGGTTCGTCCTCGAGTCTTCCTTTGTCTTCACGTCCCACATCTACAGTCAGTCACAGAGCTCTGTCTCTCTATTAAATTTCTTCAGACTCCATCTTTATTGCTCCTCTCCAGTCCTAGCCATCATCTGTGACCCGGGCTCCTGTAGTTACACTTCCCTGAACTCCCCACGTCCAATCCCACTGCCTTCTTTCCAGTTCATTCTCCACACAGCTGCCAGAGGGACCCTTTTAGAAATTACTTCTGATCCTGCCACTCATTCTCTTGCTGAATATTCTGTTCAATGGCTTTGTCTGGCCCTTGGGAAGGGCTTTCCACTGTGCTGGCACAGAGTAAGCACTTAATGATCAATACTCTGTTTATACTCCTTGGTGCTCATCGGGTACCCTCTCTCCTGTTTTCTAAGAACCAGGTCAACTTCTTTCAGTTCCTTAAACGTACCACACTCT